CGAAGGGGAGCTCGTTTTTGCCATTTTAGCCCTCACCTTTTTACTCGTGTACTGATCAGTGTCCCTCGTTTTCGTCTCAAGCCACGCGTCGTGCAATGTCGTTCTTTTAAACATGCAGTCGAATGCCGAACACACCGGATCTGACTCTCCCAAACCTGAGTCAATCGGGGGCCTTGAGTCAGTCCGGGAGAGTCAGAACAGCTGCTCTCTACTCCGACTCTCCCGGACTGACTGAGGTCGGCCGACGCCGCTGCAGATATATACCCTGACAAACCCGGCCGGAGACGAGATAAGAGCGAACATTTCCTGCTCGTGTCCGTCCACCGGCAGGGACTGGCGCAGTGCAGTGGTGGACTGGACTCGTGTAGCGCTATTATTGTATTGTAGGCAGAGAGACGGAACGGATCACGGCTGAACTAGGATCCGCGCCCCGCTGGGGTCCTGGATTTCCAATTCCACGCTCTGTTAGGGGAGGGGGTGTTTAAGCACCCCTATTTTAACACGGTTCCTGCGCCACGTAGCGACGCGCCGTAGGCGGTGTTCGAAAGAGCGTCAAAATAATGACGAAATTACTAAAGCCACTTGTTTGGTCAGTCAAAGGTCAGGTCAGGTCACCAGAGGTTATCGAAGGCAAAATTCCACCGATTTCCAGGTCGAATGTCGACAGTTTTCAACAAACCGACGCGCAACTCGGAAACTTATAGAGTTACAGCGCCGCGGAAACGCGCATTTGATAGCCCTTTTAACTTTCTTTCTTACTAATATCCTCATATTCGACCTTCCGTCAATGGTTTTGCCAACAGGGGGCAATAGCTGTCAAAATAGCCACGATTTTTTCGGAAACAGTTTTTCTGCAATAACTTTTGGCTCAAGCCTTGCACGAGCTTACTTTTACCGGCATTGTGTTCCTCTCGTCAAGACGCATCGAGTGAACCGTAATTTGACATTGAAGGGTCAACTTGAAAAAAGTTGAATTAAGGGTAAGGTCATGACCTGACAGGAAAAGGGTCATGCTGCATATCAGTCGATCCGTATCGTCGACCTCCTGAACACATCTGAGGCGATTTTATATCTCAGAAGCATGCCTTTATCAAAAGGGTTTCGCGAAAAACTGTTAGATACCATTGGTGACTTGAGATGAACTCAGGGACATAAATAGGGGGTCACGGGTGCCATTTTCCAGTTCAGTGTGTTATTTCAACCCTCGCCGGACCTACTGGTTTTCTACATACGCGCCGTCCGAGGGGGGTGGGGGGTAAGATGCCCCGCGCCGTTTTGCCCCTGATAGAGCTAAGCCTCGCGGAAAAAACGAGCGTGTGTGCCGATGCGAGACGCAGCGACTGGCACCTGATTTTAAGGTCTTGGGCAACCGATGACCTCTGAGGTCAGATCGAGTGACCCAAGGCACGGGTTCGGTTTTTGGTAAATAACTTCGCAAAAAATGGTCGCAGAGCCGCGATTTTGGCACCAGCATGTTCGGCCTGGCTCAGGCGCGTCGAATGGTATACTTTTTGCTCGGGTGAGGTCAAGTTATTATGTTGACCTCGGGTCAAGGTCAGGTCAGAGCCCCCAGATCACGAAGTTGGTCGAAGGGGGTCATATCGCATATCATTCGATTTGGCAGGTCTTCCCGAGTCCATTGGTGGCTTCCCCGACTCGCTAGCTCAATTTGATCGAGTGTTTGAATGAAAACTCTTATTACCCTAGTGACGTCACAAATGACGTCACACATTACAAAAGTTAGGCATGTGACCTTGCCAACATTGCAAAAGTGAGGCATGTGCCCTTGCCAGGAGTGCATGAAATCACGATTCCGTGTGCTTGAGATAGTCTGAAATAGTTCCCGGTCCCAAAATGGCAGCTTTCATTTTCCCCATTGACTTATACCTAATGGTGAGGTCACGCGACCGACTTGACCTCATCATGGATAACGTATTACTAGGTGATCCATGACCTCATGTAATCTTTAGGAAAAAACACGAGATGTACAAGTTGTAAGACCTCTAGCCCTATTCCTGGCGGGGGGGGGCCTCAGGAGCCCCCCCCTGAGGTTTTTTGGTTATTTCTCCCAAACGCGTTGAGCTAGGAAGCTCAAATTTTCTGACTTTTCCTAAAAGGCTTCTACGCAACATGTCTGAAAATTTTGAGTTGATCTGACCTCAGGTCAGGTCACCAGAGGCGGTTTGGTGACCCTACCTCAGAAAAGTTTGCAATCACGCCAGAGCTAGAGTTTTTGACCGATCAATTTCTTCTCTTCAGGCTTTAGTTAGGGTACCAGTATGTGCAATTTCTATATCTCGGAATTTTGATATCGGTGACCTAAGGTCAGGTCAATTTCGCGACCTCCCCATTATAAGTCAATGGGGGAAAAATCAACTCCCTGTTTTTACCACTAAAACGGGTCGGAATGGCCCCATATACCATACATGACTTCATATACGATCAACCTTCACTACCTTGAGGTCTGTTTTGCTGTTGGGCAGCTGTGAGGTCATGTGACGTCATCAAAGGTCACCAAAGGTTTTTGGCCAATAACTCCGTACAGGAACAAGATACAGACGCGTGGATGGTCTCATTGTGTTCAGCTCGTCAAGACGCATCGAATGATATACATGATGACCTCGAGGTCACGTGACCTGTGGTCAACCTTTGACCTTGACCTTTCGAGGTCAACATATATATCATTCGATGCGGATTGACGAGAGGATCACGATGATGCCCTTAGTTTGTTCCTATCTTGACTAATTCGAAAGTTATTCGAGAAAAACTCTCTCCATATCTAGCGCCGCCATTTTGACTTTTTCGACCCCTGTGACGTCATCTTTGACCTGACCTGAAAATGACCTTGGTAAAAATTGTAGACCTTGTCCATGCGTATCCGATGCCGTTTACCGCTTGTCGCTATCTTGCTTCGTTCTCGAGATCTCAGGGGGGGGGGGGCGAATCGGCCCCCCCGCCAGTTTCTTGTCCCGGCGGAGCCCGCCAGGAATAGGGCTAGAGGATACTAGATCTTGTGAATTGTATCTACCTGTGAAAACTGTTCTGTCACTGAGGGCGCTGTGAAGATGCGGCATCTCAGGACCGTGCAGAGGTTCACTAATGACGTCATAGGTCAGTGAACTGACCTGACCGGAAAATGCAGTTGGTGTCGCAGATCCGGCTTGAATCTCAGATCAAATATGCCAAAGCTCTCTATTCTAGCGTGTTTCAAGTAATCGCGAAAAACAAAACGCTTACGTGATCCAACATGATCTTCAAGAGGTCAGCATGATTTGGTTACGCTCTTCCAAATACCATAAACACGGTTGCAAACATTTTATTTCATCAAACGACACACCGCCACGCCAGGGCTTTACACAACAAACACAAAAACAGAGTAAAAATCACGGTACATCAGAAAACTCTAGCCAACATAAATGCTAGAATTTAGCATTTCTGCTATCTTTAGAACGAAAAGGCAACATTCCACCGCTAAGTGTCAAGTTCTACACTAAATCTTGCTGTGCCATGGTACAATGAACATACTTTACGAGGAACGTCATCAACTCCCCGGTATGCAGTGGTGGTGACATTTCTCTAATCTATCTAAGAAATAAGTGATGAAACACAACTTCATAGAAATGGGTTTTTGTTACCAGCCTTACAGAGACTGTAAATGACGGAACAAATTGAGATTTTCAAAGCAAATGTTATTTTGGTTGCGTTTGCTAAAATTAGGCCTTTTGAACATATGTGTATGACAAAAAATGGTTCATAAGATTCGGAAAAAATTAGGCACGGAATACGCTAAAGTAAAACCATATACAACACCTACATTCCTGGAAGAATGAGGCTCTACACATTTACACAATATTGCAAGTAGCAACGTTTACACAAATTGCAACTCCCAGTGTGCGTGTTTCTGTCATTCTCAATTCTGCGCATTACCAAGAATATGCACAGTACAAAAATGACAATAGAATAACGAAGCAAGTGACATTTATGGACAATGTAGCGTTATACGTAAGTATACTGTTGCATTGTCTATATCGTTACCATGGAACTGATCATGACAAAGGTACAAAATTGTCACCTGTAAACTTCAACACATTCGCATCGTTTTCTAAATAATTACAATACAAAATCAAATGAAGGATCAGAAGCCTCAACGAACAGCCATTTGACAATTTAAAAAGTTGTCAGCACGCGTCATAATCGAGCCAGTGGTATCCATCGTCGTATCCTAACACCAAACCCTGTCCGCAAAGAGCTTATCAAGCTACACCCGTAGCATGTGACGTTTCACATTTAATGCGCACACATCGCGCATCGTTCTAAGCGTCAGAGCGACCAGCGCACTCACCAAAAATTGGTGACGTCACAGTGCAGTATGTGACGTCACAGGCGACCAGCGCACTGCGAAAGTCACGTGACACAAACAACCGGCCAATGGTCGCACAACTTACGACAAATGTTCTGTTGCTCACACTGGTGATTTACAAATTACACTAGTGGTGCCATGCACCAAGAATATGCGTTGGCAATCTATTGTATTGACGCGTGCAACACTTTCTAGTGCAGATTTACGCCATTTGCAAAGAATGACGTTACAATTATGGTCCTGAGGCGATTTGCGCGCTCGAAGGCAACCAGTATAGGTATGACACAATAGCCTAAATGCTAAATTTGACTGTCCATCGACCACTTAAACTACATTCATTTACAGCTAATGAACATTAATCATCGATATACACTTTTCGACATCGAAATATGGCATCAAATGCCAATCAGCAATGACTTATTTATCTAGAAATATATTTTACCCTATCTCGATGTCTGTATGTCGATGATGAGTAGGGACAGGTCACTGTTCCATTATGTCGTTCACAAGCTGCATCTTGCAAAGTACTGCTGCGTGCATTTGCTAGCTGACTAGCGACTATTACATGAAATACATAATTGCGCTAGGCAGCCACCGTACAAATCTAGGTGGCTGCCGCAACCGCTTTTACATAGATGATCACTCTGTTTAGTCACCTATACAGTATACACTAACGTTAAAGTACAATGATCTTTCTTTGTCGTTACTCACTGGCAGAACCGTGTTTATTGTTGTTTGTATGACTAGTATTGACGAAACTTATCAGAATATTTATGAATATGAGTACTATTTTGCCTTCAACTGTAGCTAGGTGTCTAACCCAAGCCTGCACCGAATACAAGGCAGAATTATTGAATGTCTCAGGAAAGCAAGAGAAAGCTACTACTTACCGAAAAAGGACAGATGGAATGAAATAAATGAAAACCAATAGATACATAAGAAGACAGAGATAAAATATATAGTGGCAAACATCAGGACGTAATGATTCCCCCGATATGAAGGTATGTAAGTAGATTCCAAAAGAACGGCTTCCACCTATGCTGTAGTCGCCAATTATATTTCTTACGTGCTAATATTTTTGTCCATATTTACATAGTTTTCACAACACCTCAACAATATTGCACTCTAAGTAAAACATTCACATGTTGCGCGTCATAGTCGTTTCAACGTCAGTGCATATAAAATACCGGTAAATGTGGCGGCATTCACATTGTGAGCATTCTTCAGCGTTGTTTTACAGAAGTTACACGTAGATACCTTGCTTGGAAGGAATAACAACACCCGAGACCGCTGAGTCATTCAGCCGGTCTTTGGTCTCCAATAACTCCAACTCCAACTCGGAGTTCGACTGAAGCTCCAACTCCAATCACATAAATCCTTCTTCCCTCCGCGCTGGCATGCAGCTTTAAAACATACCGTTAAATGCATATCTCATCGTCGCCCTCTGTCGTTAACCTTATAAACTTATGTTTGAGGCGACGTTTATACCCCTGTTATATCGGGCTTCCGCCGCGCCTGCCCCCTTTCGGTGGCCTTTAGAGGCGTTAGTTGTGCAGAGTGCGCCACCGTCGCGCAGCTGGCTGTCGTCTGCAATGTTTGGCAGTGTGCGGAGCGTCTCAAAGTCGAATCAGTCGGCATCTGAATCCTAATCGGGGCGCAGCAACTGCCTGATTTTACCAGCGCCTGAAAACCCTGACGATATTTAGCATTGAAAAACGCATAGAGAACCGGGTTAACGCAGGAGTTTGAAGCTCCAAGCCACTGAGCTAGCGGCATGGCAACGGAAAGAATGCGATCCATGCCTTCCGGGAGCTGCTCAAAGTCGGCGAACTTCACTAGGAGCCAGATGCCGTAGAGGGGGAGCCAGCTGAGAGTAAAGACGACCACCACCAGCATCAGCATCTTGACCACCTTGAACTTGGAGCGCTGCTGCATCCTCTTCAGCTGAACGTCCTTAGTGTCGCCGGGAATCGCGCGCCTGGGGAATAGCAAGCGGAATGCTGGTGATTTTATTGGACTCACTGGTGGAGTGTTTACATGAATAACATGTTTGGTACCGAAAGTCTTGTGTCAAGCATCACAATTCACAACTCTGGTTTGCTATGATATGACCAAAATTTATAAAACCTTGTCCCGTTTTTTTCCTACCAATGAACTTTGAACTCAGTGTTGAAAGCAAGTGCAGACGCAACAAAAGGTCATTTTTATTCAAGGCTACGGAAAGCCCTACCTTACAGCGTAAATTATCGTTTCAGGAGGGCTTATTAATTCTGAATTTTTCATTTACGCTGATATATTTATATGTTTCGAAGCGATCTGCGAATCAAAATCACCGATAATAACCGACCTGACGAGATCAACTGCATCTACAATTATATCATGCAACTCTGCCTCAAACTGACCTGGAGACCTTGATCCATATGCCGACATAGCAGATGACGATGAGCACCAACGGCACCAGATAGCAGAGCAGCAGGTTCGCAGCGATGAAGAACAGGCCGCCGTCTACACCCTTGGGCCACACTTCGTTACAGAGCATGGCGCCTCCTTGAGGACGGAGATCGAAGAACAAAGGCCACGGCATCATCAGGAGAGCGGGAAACAGCCAGATGACAGCTATGATGACGCGGGCCCGCTTGCGGGAAATGTGGCAGCGCAGGCCGCAGCAGATGGCCAGGAACCTGTGCAGAAGGAGAAAAATACGTTAGTGATAGTACAAGATGAATCTAGGATAAATAGAGCTGAGGAAGTTTGAGCTAGTATTTCAGAGACGCCGTCGTTAATGCGATTTCGCACAAACGTGAGGGTCCGTCGATGAGCAAAGCGAATAAGCGGTGGTGAGTTGGAATTTGGAAATACTCTTAAAAACGATTGACTAGGTAATAAGATAAGCTAACAATAATTTGGAAACATAGCAAAGGCGTAATGAAATGGCCGAAGCTTATTTCTACGGCTGATTCGTCGTTGTTTTAATTTGTTACATCACAATCTTCATCTAATTACACTGATGAAAATAACTTGGTGTTCTGCTTTTTAAAATAAACCGACTATTCGCCGTTTCTTCGTGATATTTTGGATTTAGTGTCACTTACATTTAAATTATGTGTTTAAGTGTCTAACATAAAGTGATATAATAACACAGCATGTTGTTGGCTGGCACAATGAGATGTCTTGCGGAAGATTTCTGGAATTTACGAACGCCATTCTGGTCACAATGACATTTGCCGGCTTGGGACAAACACCGCATAATTTTGCAAGGCCTGTCATATTCTCTTGTCAGCTTGAGCGAACTTCTGCCTAGCGATGCCGGCAGCTGTATAAATCGTGAGAGGAATGCCACGATCTCACATTGCTAAAAGCTCGACAAACAGTGGTCCTCTGAGTCGAACACAAGAGCATGTCAACGGTCCTTAGAAATGGGGTTCATTCATAATAATGGGTCCTTCGCTGCGTATTTGGAGAGCTGTTGACGGGCTGACTCTATGGGACCTAATTTGTGCGTGAACAGGTACGAACTTGAGTACTGGTTTATCCCTTATTCCGCCCATCCCTTCACCTTTCCCGATATTTTAGTCATTTGCTCGTTCGCCGTTCGTCCCTTCGTTCATGATCGAGTTTGTCTCCATTTCTGGGTCCGATTCCGACTTCTGCTCGTCTGCCCGTCTGCCCGTCTGCCCGTCTGCCCGTCTGCCCGTCTGCCCGTCTGTCCGTCTGTCTGTCTGTCTGTCTGTCTGTCTGTCTGTCTGTCTGTCTGTCTGTCTGTCTGTCTGTCTTCTGTCTGTCTGTCTGTCTGTCTGTCGTCTGTCTGTCTGTCTGTCTGTCTGTCTGTCTGGTCTGTTCGTCTCTGTCTGTCTGTCTGTCTGTCTGTCTGTCTGTCTGTCTGTCTGTCTGTCTGTCTGTCTGTCTGTCTGTCTGTCTGTCTGTCTGTCTGTCTGTCTGTCTGTCTGTCTGTTGTCGTCTGTCTGTCGTCTGTCTGTCTCTGTCTGTCTGTCTGTCTGTCTGTCTGTCTGTCTGTCTGTCTGTCTGTCTGTCTGTCTGTCTGTCTGTCGTCTGTCTGTCTGTCTGTCTGTCTGTCTGTCTGTCTGTCTGTCTGTCTGTCTGTCTGTCGCTGTCTGTCTGTCTGTCCTGTCTGTCTGTCTGTCCCTGTC